ATCAAGGACGTCTTACTGGGCAATGAAGGAACCATACCTTAAACATCTGTATGAAATCTCCCGGCTTCTTAAATATACCAGTCTCATAAGACCTTGCTCTATCCATTTTCTGTTTCATGCACACGAAAAACATAACATGAGCTGAAAGAATGCCATCAGCAACTGGAGTTTCTGGTGAACTTTTATCAATTAGGCAGTCAAATTACTCTTATTTTATTTAGTTCCTTAAAAATTCAGTGACATAGCAATAATGATCAAATCATTGGATGACGAAATATATGCCAGTCAGACCAAGAGTTACTTGATTATTAACAGGTACTTAGGTGAACAATATGATAAGCCTCCAGTTATACATGCAACTTATAATTCATATGTCAAAAGTATCTGTAACATAGCTGTGAAGAATAAAAAAAACTTAGCTAACATTAAATGACTATATAGATTAAAATTTATCAAGTAATTGTAGAACTCAGCTTATGCAAATACTTCACCTCTTCATCTGCCTGCAAAAATGTCCTCAAATCTTCGCTTTGCTTAAGTTCAGGGTGTGAAGCTAGTCTGTTGATGAATAGGTCCAAAGCTTGGCGCCTCAATTCAATGAATTCTTTGCTAAACCGGAATTTCTCTAAGAATAGAGCAAAGAAACAACAGCTCGGTAAGCAATAAAACACAATATTGGCACTAAAGTGGTCGATACATTTATGTTACTCTGCAGGGAATATACAGGATAGATTGATGATAAAATCATATTACCAACTGCATTCTTCTCTGGAAGAGGAGGTATAAAAATGCCTTTGTACTTCTCAGCTAGCCGATCGTGCAGCCACTCAAAATCACTATAACGCCGGATAACAATTTTCTCTGCTCCCTCGAATTCAGGTAGGTTAGTCTACAGAGGCAAATATTAGCAAATTAGTAAATCAATAGAAGCACAGTCAGCATATGGCCAAGAAGGAATAAATATATATCTTCTCAAGTAAATGTAATGCAGCTCCTAGATAGCATGCAAGCACAAGACAGATATGGAGAATGAAAAGTAACACGAGTGCTGGAGGTCAATTCAATAGGCTAAACCAATGGGTGTGAATCAACGATAGAACAGTACACACAAAGTGTCATCAATTGGCGGTTTACACAATATTACCATGTCATTCCGCGATCATCTTTGTCAACACACGAATCAGTAGGATCCAGAGTCTAATGGTGCGGGTCACTGCAATCTTGCTGAGTTTCTTGAATGAATTAAGAACTCACCCGTATTTAAAGTATGTTAAGTATACAGACAGAAGTCTAATGGTGCGGGTCACTACAATCTTGCTGTGTTTCTTGAATGAATTAAAAACTCACCCGTATTTAGAGTATGTTAAGTATACAGACAGATTTAGTCGTGAATTGGTGTGAGCAATGCAACAGATGGTGCTTCCTCATAGAATCATTTAATTATGGAACTGAAGTATTTCCTTTTTAAGCGAAAGAAAAAAAAATTATGTTCCTTTTTTATTCAAACCATGCAGGAGAGCTACATATAAATATATTAAGAAAGGCTAGAAGTGTAGAACATAGTTGAAGGGTTACAGCTAGACAGTCAAACCGACCACAAAAACAACTACAAACAGCCCAAAGGTGATCTAAGGCAGGAGAGCGACCAATCCCTCCATCACACTTGGCACTCGACCAAGCCCTCGAAAAAATTACGGAGGCCGTGACTTGGTTATTGAAGATTCTTTGTGTTCCTTCCATATAATCGACTCAACCAAGATGATTAACAAACTATTAGAACCTCCGCTGAAGTCGCACGGGGAGGGGGCGGGGGGTCCTTAGAAACACAGCCTATTCTGTGCGATCCAACAGGCACCGTCTTCGTATTGTCCTGATGCTCCATAGCTGCTCTCTATTGCGATTTCACGACAACATTCAGAACTGTTCAATGTCCTGTACTTTTCTTTCGTCGTACTTAGCTCTACTAATTAGAGAAAATCTTTTAAGGGCTTTCTAGTACCTACTCAAAGGCCACAAGAGTGTGCACACCACTGAGTTCATTAATTACTGGGCTGTTACTAATTTCCAATGTCGGATCTAATTTAAGAAACCAGAGTTCATAAATTGAGCTCCGCTGTTCCAGCCTGACTGACACCTAATAGCCGGCGAAATTTGCTCTAGGAATTGGCAACACCCGATGGACATAAGAAAACAATCAATTCGTACAGAACCACACTAAAAACTACTGAATCTGGACCAAATCGAAGTAACCGGCAGGTAGGGGACTTGGGACAGAGAACGAGTCGGATGACCTTGGTGATGACGCGGTAGGAGATGTAGGACTGGACGCCGGTGCCCATCTTGACGGGATCCGTGACGCAGATCGACAGGAACGGCGCCCCGGCCGCCGCCCCGGGCGACCGCGGGCTCTGCGACTGGCTCCTCTCCTGCGAGAGCACGCGTAGACAGATTCAGTGCCAAAAAAAATTACCGGCCGAGCGCGCGGGCGGGCGGCGGCGGGGCCGGAGAGGGGCGGCGGAGGGGGCAGGGCGTCGGAATTTACCGCGGAGATCATGATGGCGAGCTTCCCCTGCGAGGCCTCGTCTCCTCGTTGCGGCACGGCGAAGCTACGGGAACGAGGAGAGGGGGCTACTTGGGAAGAAAACGAAGAGGATTCTCTTTTTCTCTTCTTTTTTTGAGGGAAGGATTTTGTTGGTTACGAGATTACTTTTTTTTTTTTGGAGGAAACGTCAGTGGATCTAGGCCCTGAGCAAGTCCGTTTTAGCCCAGCTCCGCGGCTAGTCGGCCCGCCACAACTCGCGATTAAGACCGGCCCAGCTTGCTTTTTCCTAATAGTAAACAATGTTCTTTGCGTCTCCAAGAAAAATGTTTTAATAATCCCAAAAATGGTGTTTAACTGTGCTTCTGATAGCTCCGACTTCGTTCATGTTCCGACGGTGTGTTGAGACCGTGGCGGCAATCTCTTCACTAAATAAGTACTTCCGACTTCGTTCCTGTTCTGACGGTGTGTTGTTTTGCCATCAGTGGGGAGTGAGTAGTTGTGGTTCTTTGCCGGTTGAACCTTTGGTTTAATTATGTGGGATGTTAGTTCCTTTTGCACAATAGAGATTGCTTTTTCTTTCTCGGCGGCAGCAGACGGTGCTTTCCTTCGTGGTTGAGAAGCTCACTGCGACCTAGGATCTTGATGTCACGACCAAGGTGCACTCGCTACCCCAACGGGCAGGAGGGTTGAAGTCTTTCAAGAAACTGAAGAAGAATTCACTTGGTGGAGTCCTTGTGGCGACAATGATGACTCGTTGCTACAACGAAGTTCTTTCTCATGTGAGTGGTTCTTGTAGACAACATCTCGTTGGAAGTTAGTGGTAATTATTTTACTATCTTGCAGGGGCCTTTGCAATTGTTTCTTTATGTGCATGCGACATTTTGTTATTAGAAAAAGGTTCTTTGCAATGAACAGAAAAATTCCCTAACAATTTGAAGTTGCCGACCACATCTGTTTTGGAGTATCTTATAGTCGGAATTGTTGGGATTTCCCTTTTTTGTTATTTGGTTTGGCGTGTGCGGAAGATGATTTGTGTTTTCTTTCTTCGATAATGTGATGTTTTGATGTGTTTTATTGGCTGTGTATTTTTTCATCATATGATAATCAACTCATACTTATGTCAGAAAGTTTCTTGGGCAAGTGACTGCGTTATCATATTTATGCCACAATGGCACATGGCGCTTCTTTCTTCTAGGCGGCGAGAGAATGTGCGAAACAGATGTGTTTTTTAGGCTGGTTACTGTCGATTAATTTGAAAAAATCGTTGAGCCAGTCAAAATCGTAAATCAGATCCAATATTAGACACCTTAACTAAATGAGAGAGCTTCTTAAAAAATTATTGACCCAGTCAAAATCATGAATCATATCCAAAATTGAACGCCTCAATTGAATGAGAGGGCTCCAAAATTAAAGAGTATAGATGATTTCCTATATAATTCCATTTACGCTCCGTTTGGATGTCTCCATTGGAGAGCTCCGCATTGAATTGGCATGAATTCCAAATCAATGAGGAAACTGAAATGGTATGAATATGAATTCACCTGTTTGGTTGTCCAGCGAATTGGCTCTTGAAATGCCTCTGAGATTTCAATACCGAATCTTGTCTGGGTGACAAACTTTGGAATTGCACAACTACATTACCGGGTTATACCTTATTCTACATGACTCAAAAATGAAATATGACGGATAGTTCACAAATCTGCACAATACATAAACAAAAAATTGGTAAATAACAGAGAACAAAAAGGTCCTCACATGAACCAAGTTCAGGTACAAGACAATGGTTGGGCGCCATGGGCTGGTGTAGGACAGGAGATGGGTACACGGGGGTGGGCGCGGCGGACAGGGAGAAGGCCCGAGGCAGAGCGCCCGTGGCCATAGGAGACCTGCACCTCCATCGTCGCAGCCCTCCTGGTGGTCGCCGTGGTCCTTCTGGATGCCGACGAGATGCGACCTAGACCAGGGGCAGGGACAGGGTGAGGAGGATGGAACGGGGCAGAAGCGGATTGAGTAACCGGCGCCTATGTCGCCGTGGTCCTGCTGGTGCTTGCCGGCGAGGTCCTCGTGGTGGCCGCCGGAGATGCGCGAGGACGGCGATGGAATTAGAGGAGGGAGCGGGGAAGGAGATGGGTAGAGAAGTAGGGAGCGGGTCCGAATCGAACCTGGGGGATGGCCGCCGAGCTCCTTGGGACTCACCGCCGAGCTCCCTGGTGGTGGACGCTGACCTCCCCGCGTCTCCTTTTCTTTTTCTCCTCGAAGACGAGGGGATAAGGCAACGAAGGGGCACGTTTTGCGGGAAAGGGGCAATTCAGAGGAAACCGGAGCACCAAGGCTCCGTATCGTTGAAGTGAAGCTTTGGTAGGAGGGAATAGGGGGTTGAATTTGGTTTCATTTTGAAGCGGCAATTCACAGTCCAACCAAACAGCTGAATTGTAATCAAGGAATACCAAATCCATTTCAGGCACCTTAATTCAGACATCCAAACGCAGTGTTATGTGAAATCTCCCTAAGTTTTTTTTGTTCCAAACGGGACCTAACTCTTTTGAGTCAAAGGAGCAACTTCCTTTAAAAGAAATATAAGAGCGTTTAGATCACTACTTCACCCATTTCTTTGCCGACGAAGTAGTATAATATTAACACTACAGTCATGCTAAGTGATGTACTCCCTCCGTTCGGAATTACTTGTCTCAAAAATGGATGTATGTAGAACTAAAATACGTCTAGATACATCCATTTTCGCGACAAGTAATTCCGAACGGAGGGAGTACTTATGTGGCCAAATATTTATGAAGAAATCAGGTATAGTACTACAAAGAATGTCAGAAAGGAAAACTCAGAACCCCTGCCGTGAAAAAAAAAGTACTGCACGGATCTGAAAACCCCAGCAGCATAACCTTGGTGGCTCCGTTCTTCCCCAAAGGCCAAAGGCAGCAGAGTCCAACAAACCCGCGGACCCACCGATGCCCGCGCCGGCACGCATCCCTCCCCTACTGCGCTGCCGGATCGCCGCCTCCCCACCGGTGACGTCTGCCGTCAATCGCGAATCCGGCGCCAGCCGTTACACCGCCCGCCCGCCCGCCCGCACAGCCTCGCCTCGCCCCGCCATGGATCGCGCGCGCCACAAGAGCTCGCCCAGCTCCGAGCGCTTCCTCGGCGCATTCCTCCCCCGCGCGGCCGCCGCCGACCAGCCCGCCTCGGCGGCCTTCGAGCTCGACGAGGACGACCTCTTCGGCTCGGGGGTCGGATCTCCCGAGCGGCCGCAGCCGCCGCCGCCGCGCCGGCCCTTGTTCATCTCCTCCTTCCGCGCCGCAAACCCTAGCCCCCGCCTCCGCCGCCCGCCGGGGGGCATCCTCGAGGCCCTCCCCGAGCGCCTCGGGCCTCTCTCGCCGCCCCCGTCCGCCTCGTCCGCCTCGACGTCTCCCGCGTCTCCGGCGACGGCCCTTCCGCGCATGATCCCCGCCATCCCCCGCCCGGCGCCGGCGCCGGCGATGCAAATGCCGCAGTCTGCGCCGGTGAATGTGCCGGTGGCGCGGATGCGGCGGCCGCCGTTCGAGGCGTTCGCGAGTGAACCGGACGAGGAGGAGGACGACGAGGAGATGCTGCCGCCGCACGAGATGGTGGCGCGCTCGCGGGCGCGGGAGTCGCCCATGACGACCTTTTCGGTGCTGGAGGGCGCCGGGCGCACGCTCAAGGGGAGGGACCTCCGCCAGGTACGCAATGCAGTGTGGCGGAAGACCGGCCTGCTCGATTGATCCATTGCGTTTGCATTTGGCAGCTGCCTTCGGCCACAGCGATTGAGTTCGTGTGCTTGAATTATTTTGTACATTACGCGTGATCAGGTGTTAATTTTAGCTACACCTGTAAAATATGTGTTGTATCACTCACCAGTGCGGCATTGCTCTTATTTATGAACTCTCTATTTGAGCTGTCAGGAGACATTTGAACTATTTGGTATGGATCAAGATAATTGTGTTCGTATGGATGTTTCTGTGTTAATTTACCCCAATAGATATGGTTTATCGATCCTTACTATGGTTACATTCCGAAAGTATGTAGTTTTAACATCGAACGATGTAAACTTGGGCATATTTTGAGATATTGTGATGTAGATTAGTTTGCACTGCACTTGTGGAGCTGGATTCTTTACTGGAGCTCGTTAGCTACTGCAGCTTCGTTTGGTGAAGAAGATAGTTTTGCTGTTCTTTTTGCCGATGTGATTCTGCAAACTATCCATCGTTTATCGTATTTGAGGTCGCGTGTAGGACATGGAAATGGATCATGGGTGCAATATTGTTCAGGTGTTATAAATTTTACTGCAATTGATGGTGCTGTTCAGTGTTCAGGGTCCGAGTTAAATATGCTCTGCCTGCTGCTTAGCTGAAGGTGTGTCCCCGAATTTTCATTTTGATGTTTACCTAGATATTAAAATTGTTTTAGGAAGTTTATACCTTAATCATAATTTAGAGTAGTACCAAGACACTAGACTATGTGAGAGATGCACAATCAGGCAGTCGACTAATTTTAGTCTAAACCCAGGTTTAAATATTGTTCAGAGTATAGTCGGTGAACACCATCTTTTATGTATGCCAGATCGTCAGGTCTATGGAGCTGTGATTCTGGATTTCCAAAAGAAATCGATGGCTTAGCTGTCGAAGTAGTTCAAGCAAACAGAAAATGTAGCTTATTGGAACTCCATGATCCCCCACTTGTTTTTATTATCAAGGAACACTTGTTGCCTTTCCCAGCTGTATGAACTAGAGATTGGTCGCCAGCATATCTGAAATCTTGTCTTGATAGAAAACTGGCAATGATGTGTTGAGGATCTTCTTCGTACTACTATACAGGAGTTGTCTGTCTATTCCGTATCAGGAATACACGGTCCAACCAATAGAGCAAAGGGCAAATCTTTGTTCCTCATGGATGCTCTGTCTGCATATTCTGTATTGGGCCGGTCATAAAGGTTCATACTTATTCCATATTCAACATCCCAATCCCATTACTAGCACTTCGTC